GGGGGCCCCCCGGTGGGGGGGGGGGCTGGGCCGCCCCGGGGGGGGGGGGGTGGTTGGCAAAAACTGTGGTAAAACCCTTTGGGAAAGGAAAGGCGACGTTAATCACAAAGCCAAAAAAAGAACATTTGTTGTTTGTTCTGCTGCTGAGGAGTGTAGCGGTGTAAGTCCCTTGCTGAAGGTGCCTTCTTGCCTCCTAGGGAGAAAATGTGCTTTTTCTGGTGACCAATTTCATCGCTACAGCAAAGCAAGCCCAGGGCACCTGTCCCGAGGTAAGTGAGCTGTGCTGCTCCTTAGCCCAGCGCTGCGGTGGGGTTAGATTTATAAAGCCAGTCAGTGCTGCTGCGCTGTAGCTGTACAGGAACTCGGAATAACCCAGTGCAAGACCAGACAGAAGGGAAAAATGGATTTTTATTCCAAACAAAACTGATTCCCCTCATTCTCATTGCTCCATAGATGTTACTTGCTCATTTGCATTTGCTCTGTCGTACCTGCATGAACCAAGACGTGTATCCAAGCAGTCTGGCCAGAATCACTTGTGGTGACCAGAAGGACAAGGGACATGGTCTGTTGGGTCCTCGCCAGCTCTCTGGGCTTCTTTGAGGGGTGGTGACACTGTGTGATCTTTACAGGCTTTCTACTGCCTTTGAACAAGGGCCGCTCTCAGGAGGCTGAGCTGTCACCCTGTTGCTGTTCTCTCTCTGCACTGCGGCTGGCATCAGCACTGCCATCCCCAGCTAATACCTCTGTTACCTGTGTTCCTTCTTGAGTCTCACACGTATTCTTGGTTTCTTGACTTGCTGCTCCGCTCTTTTTCCTCTGTTCTGCCATTTTTCTTGATGCTTTTACACACGCTCCATGGATACCTGTGTCATGTTTCCTTTATAACTCTCTGCTGCAGGACTAGTATCCTAGTATCCTCTCCATCTTAGTGTCCTATTTTTAGGAGGAACGGAGCACAAGGTCTAGGTGGTTTTTGCAGTCAGCCAACACTTAGTGGTATATGTTCTCTGGGATAAATCTTCCCTTTAAGGCTGGATTCAGGCCAGCTCCTCAACTGAACTCTCCCAAGCTGGACCCTGCTTGGCAGACAGGAGCAAATGTCTTTTAAGCTAAGCCGCTGTTGGCGCCTTGTGCCTGAGCCAAGCACTGTTTGTCCTAATGGTCCCTTCAGCTCTTGCTGTGGCCTGCTGTACCGTGCCCAGCCTGATCCTGATTCCCAGCTCGCCCTGTGCTGCAGGCTGCCGGGCTGGGCGGCTCTCCAAACACAGCCCACAGGCTGCGGGAGAGGAGGAGCAACCCCGGTTTTGGGTTGGGGAAAATGGTACTAACGATCCCTCTTTAAAATGTTGAGAACTTCTAAAGTACTGATAGCTGCAGGGACGTCCCCAGGGGAAGACATGCGCTGTAGAGCATTTCAGGGCTCTCTCACAGGCAGTCACGGGCATCTCTGGATGCTTATTTTTGCAGTGTGCAAGCCAAGGATACAGAGAGGGCAGAGCATGTCATCCCATTACAGTGCTGTGGTGTGTCTGCCTGTCACAGCCTTCACCCCGTGCTGCTCTCCAGTAGTTTCTCAGTTCCTGGCTTTGGGGCTGTAGCTAACATTCATGTTTGGAAAGCTTTGAAGATTTAGCAGTGACAGCTATTGACTTTGCAGGAAGTTCTGAATATTCTCGATTACCAAGGTATTCTGTGCTGGTGGACCAGGGAAAAGTCTGGCTGGGGACAGCGGCAGCACTCAAACACAGGACGGGTTGTTTTAGCAGCTGATGTCTGTGTTGAGCTCAGATCTGTGGCTGAGCTGTGACTTCTCTTAGGGAGACGTTTCAATGTTGATCTCAAATACTTTGAGTGGTTGGAAACCCTCTGCCTCTATTTGCAAGGCGCTCTGAAGGTAAATAAGATGATCAAAATAGACTTAGAGCCAGAAGGTATTAGTCAGACAGTGCATCCACTCTGTCCAGATAGAAGCTCTGGGTCTAAGGGACCATTTCACTTAAATTATGGTCTTTAGTACAACCAGCTGTGCTCAGCTCTTACAGGTCCAGATGCTGCTGATGGGTGTGCACGTGAGTGGCGCTGGTCCCAGCCCCAAACAACACAGGACTGTGTCCTACGGGGATGAGGCGGGTGTTAGATTTTGGGAGAAGCCTCATCCTTCTTTGCTCACATGTGATGCTACTGCTGGTTTGCTCTCCAAGAAGGTTCACTTTGCTTCCTGGCCCCTGGTACGTGGCTGCATAGCTGCCGAGGGCTGGGAATCAGCAATTGTTTCTAATAAGATTAAGAATAAAGTCATCCTCTACCCACATATTTGTGACTACAGAAGGTAAATATAAACCTTTCAGCCCTGAGGTTCCTAGTGTTCATGCACAGATCTCTGCTGTCAACACAAGCACCTCTTTGCTGCCCCTGTCTGAAATCACCCCTGTCCCAGGAACACAAATGCGACGAACTCCAAGCAGCATCTGAGCTTTGCTGTGAGCACCTTGGGGGATGTCTTCTAAAAACGTGTAGTAGTTCACCCGCTTGTCAGGAAACCTGTTCTGAATACTGGTGTGCTCATATTCCTGTCCCGTCCCAAACCTGCAGTTCTTGGGTAGGTTCCTAGAAAAATTTGTTACTCCTAATTTTCCCACGCTTTTAGACCCTTACACAACCAAGATGCAGCAATGGTTTAGAGGGCTTTAGGAGCACAGGTCCAGGGCCCCATGAGGGCTCTTAACTGAGTCTAGATCTCTGTTTCTCTCACAATGCATTTGTGGCACATGTAACCTGGTTTGGATCATGCCTGTGGAGAATGCCAGCGCCGACAGATTTTTCAAGGCTCATTTCCACTAAAAGGTGGTAGGGGAGGTTGAAACCTTCTTGGCCAGGTTTTAGGTTTTCTGTAATACCATCACAGACTTCAGTACCTGAATTTCTCCCAAGCTTTGCAGCTTGCATGCCCTGAACACCCAGAAGTGTCTGTCTGCCAAGTGGCACTTGTCATATGTCTTGTTACCTGGACTTGGGAAGGGACTGATCACTCATCTGCAAATATCTGTTGTCTGGGTCCTTCTGGAGGCTGAATCCATGACATCTGATTTGGATCCAGGAAGACAAAGCGCTCTCATAAGTGCTTGTTGCAGCATTGCAGGTGGGTGCTGCACGCTATGAGTGGGCCATCAGTGGGGGTGAGGGACATGAATCCAGTAGCCACCCTTCTCCAGTGGTCAGGCAGGACTCCCTGGTCCCTCCGGTAGCCCTGCAGGCTTGCCCTTAGATACCCTGCCTCGCTCCCAGGCCACCTCCTCCCTGGCTTGTCCGGCCCGACGTTTGCTGTGAATCACATGTTCACATGCACACCTGCACTCGCAGCAGCTGGCACCCAGGCACATGGGCCCCTGTGATGACCGGTGGTCCCACTCCAGCTGCTGGCACTCAGACCCCCATACACCCGACATGCATACAGAATAGAGCCCCTCGCCCGGGAAAATAGTTGGAAATGGAGTTTAGTCCGAAGACAGGACAGACTGTGCTGATGGGGCACAGGGCATGGGCGGACCAGCGTACTGACCAGCCTGTACATGCAACCAGTCCTTTGCATCCTTTTATCCCTCTATTTTCCAATATTTGTTCCTTCTCAGGTCACCTAAATCCCTCCTTTTCCATGCCTTTCTTCCTCCCCTAAACATCCCATCCCCTAAACGTCCTGTGCAATCCCAAAATGCTCTTCTCCTGCATCCCATAATGATTCCTATACCCCTAGGCAGTGACCCCCCCACCCAGCCCAAAGGTGCTTCAGAGAGCTGCTCCTCTTGGCTCATTATGGTGGATTTCACACCTGGAACAAGGGGCTGAGGCTGTTGCCTTGGAAGGGCCTGGACAGATCCCCCTTCTTCTGACTCCATAACTGGGTTTTCCCCACCTGCCTTTGGGCCTCTCTGCCCCTCTGGGCTTGGGGAAGTGGTTTTCTGACGGGCTGGTGACTCCTGCGATGGCCTGGGAGTAGCTGCGGGAGGGTGTTACTCGTATTCCCCCACCTGCCATCGTCTGTGTTTGAATAGGAGCTTTTTGCTGCTCCTGGCAATAAGGTGGGTCCAGAGTGAGGGTGAAGCTTTCCACGTCTCTTGTAAAACTTGTGTTATGCTGTATTTAGGGTCTCTTCAGCTCTTCCCCGGGGGAACTGTGGTGGTGCTTTACAAGGTGCTTAATGGGCTCTGACATTAAGGCCCTCCTGAATCCAACTGTGCTTGTTCCCAGTCCCAGCCGAAAGGTCCAAGCTAGCTCCTGAGGCTTCCTCTGCCTCCGAGGCGGAGGAGGCGAGCGCCCCAGAGAGCGTGGAGACAGGCGGGAAGGATTGCCCCTCAGAGATGCCTCTCTCCTCGCTGGCTGGAGGCTGCCCGGGTTCTGGACATGGCAGATGTCTTCTGTAAGTGTTTGGGACGTGTTTGGAGAAACAGGAGCAGCAGCGCAGAAATGTGGGTGAGTGACCGCGTGGCCTCAGGCGGCTGCGCAGCGCAGTAACAGCACTTCTCTCTGTCTTTCTCAGAGCCCCTCTGTTCTCGATGCGGTGTGCACAGAAGATGCAGACTGTCCCGTGGGAAACCCAGTGGTTCGTGGCAACGGTAGGGTGTTTTGCGTGTTTGGAGAAACAGGAGCAGCAGCGCAGAAATGTGGGTGAGTGACCGCGTGGCCTCAGGCGGCTGCGCAGCGCAGTAACAGCACTTCTCTCTGTCTTTCTCAGAGCCCCTCTGTTCTCGATGCGGTGTGCACAGAAGATGCAGACTGTCCCGTGGGAAACCCAGTGGTTCGTGGCAACGGTACGGGGTGTTTTGCTAAAAAAAACATAAAATCATTTAATTTGTCATGTTTGGTAGCAAACCGATCCACAAAGGTGCCTGATTGCCCGAGTTCAGCGCTTTTCCTAAGTGCACACAGAAGTGCTCTCCAGCCATTTATTCTTGGCAAGACCTTACAGCGACCTGTCACAGCTGGGCGAGCAGGTGCTGCGGGCACAAGGCGCTGTCACAGCAAATACAGGGGTGCTTTATTTCTGATGTTGGCTGCTGGAATTGAAACCACTGTGCGTGTGATTGGCAGGTTTTCCTTTTGTAATAAAACCTGGCTTTTATTTCATGCTGATTAATATTAGCAGCCCATGTGAGTTCAGCTGGAAAAGGATATTTCAGCTCTAGGAGGTTGGTTGCCAAAGCTTTGTGTGCGGGATTGCCCCAGTTCGTCGTGTTCCCACCCGGGGAGCGGGTGGCTTCAGCAGCCGCGGGGCAGGAGAGGCTGCGCTGGACAGACAGGCGCTGACAGCAGCAAGCAGCTTCTTGTCTTTGTAAAACAGCTCCTGTCGTGGGGCCTCGAGGGGAGGTTTCACAGGGAAGTTGTTGGGTGGGGAAAACACTGAAGATGATGCCAGGGTTGTCTTTGTGGTTCAGGTATTGAGAAGGCCAGAACAAGCCTGTGGCCAGGGCACTATCCCAAGAGGGGAGCTGCAGAGAAGACACTTCGAAAAGGAGTAGTAAATTATATACGTTGTCTCATTTCTAGGGATAAAAACTGGGAAATGTGTGATGTTCAACACCACCCATTCTACCTGTGAGATCTATGGTTGGTGTCCTGTGGAGAACAACACCCTGCCCAGGTGAGGCACAGCGTGAGGGGACCGTAGGCATTGAGAGCTTTAGTTCCTTTCCTCTGTGCTCTGTGTAACCAGGGGCCTGATCATACTTGCCCAGGGGGCAGCCAGGCTCAGGGAGATCTTTGACATTGATCTACCGGTCAGTTAAGCTCAGAGAACTTCATGCAAGAGCATTTCTTGCAGCTGTCCACTGTAGCCAAAGTCCCGGGATCGTGGAAGAGACTGCAGAGCGAGGGGAATGGGGACATGCCTTGGCCGCTGTGCAAAATTTGAGTTCATTGGTGGTTGTTTTCCAGGAAACCTCTTCTGGCTGAGGCGGCGAATTTCACTCTTTTTATAAAAAATACTATCCACTTCACCAAATTTAACTTCTCCAAGTAAGTATGACACTCCGCCAGCCAGACTGTGCGTGCAGCCTAGTCCAGCATCTGCGCTGAGCTTGTCTGCCTAGGGGCTGAGCAGCCGAGGCATTCAAGAAGCCATGTGCCATCCAGGACGGGTGGTGGCTCGAGGCAGTTACGGTTCAGGATGGTGTGTTCAGGAGAACGCCGGTCGCTTCAGCGGCACCTGTGTTTGCAGATGTAAGAGCAATGGGATGGGGAGCCCTCAGAGAGAGGGACTGGTGTCCGTCTGCCTGTCTAGAGCACCACAGACAGAGCTGGACAAGGCCACTTATTCCCAAGGTCTCATTTTACCCCATGTATTTCTGCATTTTAGTCCCTGCAGAATGGTTTCACAGAGGCCCAGTAAAGGGCTGCACTGGCCTCACAGCCCCAGGCATGCTGACTGTGCTGCCTTACTCTGGCAGGAGACATGGCTTGGGGCAGTTCAGCCGCCCCTGCTATCACCCCTAGAGCGCTAATTCAAGCTGGGTCATTACATCTCACAGCGGTGGGAGCTAGGTACCGGGGAAGAAAGGAGAAGCACAAAGGCAGAGAGGTGGAGGAGAGGAGCTGGGAGGGGAAGGACCGTGGCAGGTGCTGTAAAGGATGACATCTCCACGTGTGATTCGTCTGGGCCGGTTTCCCTCCACCCTCTCCAACTAAGGCTTTAGGAGAGGCAATGACTGTCTCCCCCTGAAGCAGGAGCATTAGTGGTCCCACTCCAGTGGGAGGGTCTCCTTTTCAATCCTGCAGCAGGGCTGCCTGACCTCCCACACCCCCACCGGTGACAGCTCCCCCTCTCTCTCTTCTGTCTCAGGTGCAATACTTTGCAAACCAATGACCCCACCTATTTCAAGAACTGCACGTACGATCCGTTCTTCAACCCCTCCTGCCCCGTCTTCCGTGTCCGTGACATGGTGGAGGCAGCTGGAGAGACCTTTGGAGACCTCGCCCTGCTGGTACTTGGTTTTTTTTTTTGAAGTATGGAAGATGACTCCAAATTCCCCAAGGATGTGGGCAAGGGGCGGGGGACAGGACTGACCCCTGAAATGCTTAGGGAATGCGTGATCTGTGAACGTCTGAACAGTAAAGAACTCAGCAAATCTCTGATTCCGTGCTTCTCCTGGAATAAAACGTGTTTTGCAGGGGGGGAGCATCGGAGTTCGCATCGAGTGGGACTGCGACCTGGATCACCCCGCTGCCCAGTGCCAGCCGCAGTACTCCTTCAGCCTGCAGGACAGGAGGTACAATTTCAGGTGAGGATGCTGGGACAGTGGCCACACGGGCCTGTGGGTTGAGCACACGGCAATCGTTCGAGATCTTAGTTTTCCTGATTGGTGCTCTGAAAGGAGCAGCAGGGACAACGGGATGTGGTAACTCAGCAGAGGGTCTGTCAGTACCGGGGTGCCGTGGCAGTTCCCACACCTTGTAGCTCTGCTCTGTTTGGAGCTGTGCAAGGCATTACCTGGCTGAGGGCAGGGACATGTGGCTGTCCACGCCTGTGCTGACCCTGAACTGGACACACTGGGAGCTGCGTGCTTGCGGTGACCCCGGGCTGGGTGCTGAGTGGACACTGATGCCCCTCTGCTGATGCCAAGCTAGTGAGTCATGGCAGCACGTGCATCACCTGCATCCCAGCCCACTGGAGGACACAAGGTGTGCACAGGCACACGGTAGCCCCAGCAATCGTACGGCACTGGCAGCCCTCTTCCCCCACTGCCTGCACAGAGCTGCCATGTGTCCAACGTCTCCCGCAGAACTGCCTCCTACTACTGGGACTCCCAGCGGCGGCTCTGCCGGAACCTGCTGAAGCTCTACGGCATCCGCTTCGACATCTCTGTGCACGGCCAGGTACCGTCTCCTCTGCAGACCCCGCATGTGCAGTCCTGGCGGCCTTGTCACCAGGGCTGACTCCTCGCACCACTCCCTCCTGCTCTCCCCTGCAGCCAGCCCTGTGGCTTCCTGCTGGCGTTGCTTCTCCCCACCGTGGTGAGCTCTTCACCTCTTTCCAGAGTTTTCCAAGCAGAGCAGGGAAAAATGGTCTCTCTCATTTGAAGAGAAACTTCTTGGTAATGCCCTGAGCAGGGAGGCTTCCCTCGTTGAGGATCTGACATGGGTGTTGTGAACTGCTGGGCCCTGTAGGCAAGGTGAGCTTGTCTGGGCAGAGGGACTGTGGGCATCTCTGAGGGTCTCGTGGTGGGAGCACCCTGGCAAAGATCAACCTGAACTTTTCAGAACCTGGACAATTAATCCCTTCTTGATTAATTGTACCCTTGGGGAGAAAAGGCATGGGCATGATCATGGCTGATCCTACTCTATGCAGCATCACTGACAAACTCAGTACTCAACTGTGCAAGATGGAGCCTGTGCTGAGAGGACTTGCCACCCCAAGAGATGTCCACAGCTGGTCTGTCGTGCTTAGCAGTGGCCTTTTCACATGAAGAGGACGAAGCACACAGTGCAGGATGGGGTGCACCCACTTCTGGGTAGTGAGACCAGGTCCGGGAGGTGTGGAGCAGGATCGAATAGCCAGGAGAGAGACAGGAACCCGAAAATCTCTTTCCTCAGATGCCACGTTATATACCGTTCGCTGGGATGTAGTTCTGTGGGTGGCAGCTGCTGGGGTCCTGCAGCAAGAGGGAGGCTTCTGCCGTGCCTGCAGGAGTAGGTGGGTCACAGTAACCTCTGCTGCTACTGAGTCACGAGCTGCCTCAATCCCTTCTTCAATAGCCAAAGGGGTTTTGAGTCAAGGCAATAGCAGTCAGGTTCCCACAGCTGGGCTCGGAGAAATGACCCCGGTTTCCTCCAGCACCTCCCTGGCTTTAAGCACGCTGCCCAGCGGGGCTTGTCCCACAGCCCTCTCACCGCTCTCCACCCACTGTCTTCCCCCTCCACCCACTGTTTCTCACCAGGCTGGGAAGTTCAGCATAATTCCTGCTGCTGTGAGCTTTGGCACTGGCATCGCGTTCTTTGGTGCCGTGAGTACTCCAGATACGCTCTTTTCCTCTGATCCGTGGGTTGGGATTTGCCACTCGTCTGTTGTTTCCCCTGCCTGCCTGGGCGCGAGGCTTCCTGGGTGCCTGCCAGCCCGGGAGGGGAGATTGTGAACACTAGCAGGGTGTTAGCTCCCGTTTTCCTGTCTGTGATCATTAGCAGTAATGACACTGCCGGATCAAGGATCCTGAGCGCTGTCAGGGGCACACCTCAGGGAGGCTGGGTGTTTGTGTTGACCCTGGGAAGGCGCATTGCTGGGGCGTTGCTGGCTGGTCTGCTCCAGCTGTCTCGGCCAGCAGGAGAGGGCACCTCCTGTCTGTGTTTCTCCCCTGACTCTAAAGGGAGCCAGTGTCCGGCTCCAGCACAGACATGGCGTTGTGGTCATCGAGACGAGGCAGCCCCTTTGTAGAGCACTTCTGTGGCTCTTCCCTTTCAGCAGAGTAACAGGGAGCCTGGGCTCCCCCACCTGCCCCCTCTTTCCTCCCAGACGTGCTCATCCCAGTCCCTTACATGGCTGTGACGGCGGCTCTCCGCTGGACCAGCCCTCACCCTGCGTCTGTGCATTGCAGCCCAGATGATCACGTCTAACCTCCTGTGCGGCTAACGGGAGCAGGTTGGGTCAAAGAGGACCTGGTGGAGCTGCCTGGGTGGCCTGGGAGGCAGGTCAGGCTTGCTGCCCCCCAGCTCACGTCTAACCTCCTGTGCGGGAGCAGGTAGCAGGTTGGGTCAAAGAGGACCTGGTGGAGCTGCCTGGGGGAGGCAGGTGGCAGGTCAGGCTTGCTGCCCCCCAGCACTGGCCAGGTGCTGGAGTTTGGCCTGCAGCCGGCTGCAGGGCTTGGTGGGAGCCAGGACAGAGGGCCTGGCACTCCTGCAGGAAGTTTCACTGCTGACTGCCCTGCTGCGTTTGTCTGTCTCCAGGCCACGGTGGTCTGTGATCTGGTTCTGCTCTACCTGGATGCGAAGGCTGACTTCTATTGGAAGGAGAAGTTTGAGGAGGTAAGGATGGGGCCACTTTGGAGAGATGAGGTTCGAGTGAAGTTTTGCAAGCGGATTTAATTATGTTCTGCCCCTTGGTTAAAACTCAGTTCACAAGATCTGGGAAAACCCTGGCGGAGCAGTTCTTAGTCTCCAACTCTTGGGCTTGGCGGCTGGTCTGAACTGAACCTGACAGAGATTAAACTCTTGCAAGTTTAATGACAACAGGCAGCAGAGTGGAAGAGGGGGACGCAGCTGGTGCCCGGACTGCAGGGGAAGCTGTACCACGACCTCAACTACTGTTAGACAGCAAGGAGTCCCCGAGGGGACCTTACCGTAGAAACCTGACCCAGCTCCACATTTATTCACCCTCTTCCAGACTGAATCTGGCCAAACTCCGTGTGGAGAGAGGGCAGCTCTTCAGAGCGCGCCCTGGCGCTGTGTCGGTGCTGACGCTGCGGTTCAGTGACAGGTTTTCTGGCCGTGCGCAATTCCCGCTTTGGCACTGCCCAGCCCTGGTGAATCGGGGAGTCGCAGGGTGTGGGCTGGGAGGCCCCCGCAGAGCAGGAGAGCTGCCAGCCCTAGCTCGGGTCATCTTCGGCTTTATCTGGCCGAGTCTTAGAAACCGCTGAGGACAGAGATCCCCCAGCTCCCGGTGAACTGCCCCAGGGCTGCACCATCCTACTGGGGGGAAAAAAGTTGTTCCTAATGCCTGATCTCAAATCACAAGTGGAGTGGGGGTCTCAAACAATGAGTCTGGTTGCATGGGACTGAGCAGAGCAGCACAGGACCACCTGCCTGGGCTTGTCCCCTTGTCTCTAGTATATTAAGATGCCCCTGTTTGTTTCGCAGGCAAAACCCCCTAAAGGTAAGACCGAGGCTGCAGCTTAGGGACATCGGGAATGCTCTGCCGCAAGCACCCTTCACTCCGGAGCAACCTCCAGGTAGATGCGATGGGGGCACGGCTGCGGCCCAAGTGGAGGTGGCCCAGTTCTCCTGGCCTGAGTGTGCCCTGCTGGGGTTAGGGTCTCCCTTTCCTGGAGAAACATTTGCATTGGCAGTTCTTGGCTCCTGGAGCACAAAGCCATCCCACGTGCAGCTCCCAGCACTGACCGGCTGGTGACTGAGCAGAGCCATGCTGCGGAGCTGCTGCGGGAACTGGAGCTTGCTGGGAAGCGGCTGGCCCATGCTCAGCACAAGAGGCTTAAAGCACTTTGCGCTTCTTCACGTTCCACATGGCCGTGGGCCTTGATTTCCCGTGAAAAACGGGGATGCAACAAAATAAAGCTGTTCAAAAAGCGGGAGGTGGCTCTGCTCTGTCTCTAGCCCTGGGGGTGGCTGCGAAGGTTTTGTGGTGTCACTCTTGCACCTCGCAGCACCCTGCATGCTTCCAGCTGGGATGGCTTCACGCGAGCTGCCCAGATCCTGGGAGCTCCCCAGGGAGTAGCAGGGCTGCCCCCCTCCCCTACTTCAGCTATGCTCACCGAGGGTTTAAGAGCTGAGCTTAAGGTGGCAGCCCTGGGCTGGTACTTGCTTACTGGGGGGTGCAGTGGCTCCTGTGCCCCCTGGTTCCTGCCTCCTGCCAGGGCTGATGCTCAGCGAGGACAAGCGCAGCCCTGGGGTGAGCCTGAGCATTTTGGAGGTGCTGAACCCTGCGCTCCCACCTGCCCCGGGGGTTTTGTCGGCCTGGTGCAGGGCAGGGACTGGCAGGGTCCGTGCCCATGGGGTGCTCCGGGAACCCCACAAGCTGCCGAGCTGCCCGGCTCAAAAACACAGTGTGTGGAGGCGCAGTGGGGGTCCGAGCACCGTTTAATGCTCCCTGCAGGGGCTGACTGCGTGGGATGGAGGGGTCCTGCAGCATCACCCCTCCTCAGCTGCCTGCCCCCATGTGCCCCCCTGCCCTGGCCGTCCCCTGCCGCCCTCCTTGAACTGCCGCAGGTAGAACTGTGCTGCCAGCTGCTTGGTCATGGTCTTCAGCGCAAGGAAGGCAGCCGCGATCTCAGCGACGACGAAGGCCAGGAGAAGGCTGTGCGTAGCCATCTCCAGCGGCAGGCGGATGACGTGACTGTCCGTCAGCAGGAAGAGCAGGAGGGGGAGCTGGATCAGGAAGGAGAGGAGGAGGAACCCGGCCAGCTCGGGCACCTGTGGGAGCAGAGGCCGCTGAGATGGGGCGCAGAGGCCATCGGTGGTGTGGGGGGACCCTCTCTGCCCCAGGAGCTCCCTGCATCGGCCACTCTGCTGGCCTCAGCACCCAGGTACCGGGGACGTCCCTGCCGTGCGGAGCCATGCCTGGATGTGGTCGGATGCTGTCAAGACCAGTGCTGGAGCGTCACACCCACAGCACAGGGAGGGATACAGCAGGAGAGCGAGTGGGTCCCCTTTGTCCCCTGCTTCCAGGTCTTGCCTGCACCCGCGATTCCCTCCCAGGACAGCTCCAGGCGGAACGGGTGGTGACAGGCATTCAGGTCCTGGACGAGGGGACATCCAGCATAGCCACAGCTCCCCCAGCAGGGCCGTCCCTCACCGAACACAGGGGACTTGTGGCCAGGGCAGAGAGATGGCGCTTACCTTCTCCTGCAGGTTCCCCACATAGCCCAGGTAGAGGCGGGCGCCCTCAGCCAGCGAGAGGATGAGGAAGGCAGCGACCAGCAGGAACTGGTAGTGCCGAGGCAGCAGGTGGTACTGTAACGGGGGCACGGCCTCGTCCCAGCCTGTGCCCCGTCCCCTGTGCCCCATGCCCAGCTCTCCATGCCCAGTTTCCCATCCCGTTTCCCATCCCCTGCCCTCCATGCCCAGCTCCCTGTGCCCACCTCCCCGTTCCCTTTGCCCTGTGCCCCATGCCCAGCTCCCTGTGCCCTGCTCCCCGTGCTCTGTGCCCCGTGCTCTCCTCCCCGTGCCCAGCTCCCCATGCTCTGCCAGCCCCCGCCCGTGCTGGTGCCCAGCCTTGCCCACTGCCCTCCCAGTTTAACCTTCCCTGCCTGGAAGTTCAGTGGCTGTTCTCACGATTTCCATTTCTGGGAGCCGGAGGCGAGCCATCTTGTCTTGTGGGGGACAGGGCATTTTGCTCATGTGTGGGGACCCATATTAATTTTT